TAAACAGAATAGTGATTACAAGTCTTTTGCCGTACTAAGAGAAAGACAAAAATTAATGGAGGACGATTGTTATAACAAGTTTATCAATAACGCTGAACATAAGATTGGTATTAATAGTAAATTCTTTTGGTCTTTTATAAAATCAAAACGAAAATGTAACGATCTTCCTGACATAATGTTTCTAGATGATAATACGACTTCAGATCCTGTGAAAATATGCGATTTATTCAATACTCATTTTAGTTTAGCTTTTAGTGTTAATAGTCAAAATCATAATACTCAGATTTCTAACTCGACTCACTCGATTAATATAAATTCGGTCACTTTTACAGTTCCTCAAGTTTCAATATATTTAAAACGCTTAGATGTCAGTAAGGGACCAGGACCTGATGGCATTCCACCCTTGTTTTTACAAAGATGTTACCATCAATTAGCTAAACCATTAGCAATTTTGTTTAGAACTTCCATGAAGTTGAGTGAAATGTCTTTAGAATGGAAAAAATCGTTCATATGTCCCATATTTAAAAGTAATAAAAATTAATAAGCACGATATTTCAAATTACCGTCCATTTTCAAAATTAAGCTCGATTCCAAAAGTATTTGAGAAAATTATTTATGACACACTCTCCCAAATAGCTCAACCAATTATAATTCTTGAACAACATGGTTTTATAGGTCGAAAGTCCACAGAAAGTAATCTTTGCGAGTTTTTTGATCACCTCTAGATTGCAATGGATAGTGGACTACAGGTAGATGCAGTGTACACCGATTTTACAAAAGCATTTGACAAAATTTCACATAGTATTCTGATACACAATTTAGATCAAATCGGTGTACATGGTGATTTACTTCGATGGATATCTTCTTATCTTAGAAATCGTAGTCAGGTAGTTGCAATAAAAGGACACTGTTCATTATTTCTCCCAGTTTGTTCAGGTGTTCCTCAGGGTTCGCATCTTGGTCCACTACTATTTATAATATTTATAAATGATGTAATATCCTACTTCCATAATTCCAAAATTCTCCTTTTTGCAGATGATATAAAAATTTTCAGGTCTAGAAGACTGTAATCTACTTAAAGAGGATCTGTGTAGGCTTAGCTCATATTGCCAACAATAAATCATCTTTACTTGAACATCAAGAAATGTAATATTATCTCATTTACTAGAAAAAAGAATCCAATTCCGTTTAACTATAAGCTCGTCGATAATTTAGTAGAGTAAATGAACTGCGTGATCTTGGTGTTCAGTTGGATACTAAGTTATTACTGAGATCATATATGAATATCATAATTCAAAGAGCTTATAAAATGCTAGGTTTTGTTATGCGTATCTCAAAAGATTTTAAAAACTCTACAACATTAATTATACTATTTAATACTCTGGTGCGATCTATTCTTGAATATTGTTCTTCATGTTGGAATCCTCAATACAAAGTTTATGTTAAAATGATTGAAACAATCAATAATAAGTTTCTGCGTCACTTAAAGCGATATACCTAATTCTTCTGTAGACTCCATTCTTGATAGCTTACACAGTTATACACTCGAAAAACGCCGTGATATAAGAGATCAAATGTTGTTGTACAAATTACTACATAATATCATCGACTCTCCCCTACTTTTAAGCAAAGTGTATCTTGCGTGTCACCGGATAGGTGCACGAAATAAGCCTTTTTTTGCATTGCGTAAAGTAAAAACTAAGTATGCTTCAAATAATTTTGTATCTCGTACATGTAAAAATTTTAACTTAAAATATTGTGAACTAGTTATTTTTCACCTTAAATATAATAGTTATAAAAAAATATTGTAAAACTTAATTTATAATTGGTAGCTTCACTATAGGTTGTGTGTATTATATTACTTTTAACTGCTTAGTACTTAATGTTTATATATAAATACCATTTAGTTATTTTTTTTTAATCTTTAAACATATTGTGGTTGCAAGCTTTTAATATGTTTTAGATATCTGTGGAAACTTCATTGATTTTAGGATTACTATTATATGTTTTATAATGTATTTTTATTGTACTGTATATTTCCCTTAAAAAGTAAATAAATAAATAACCATTTAATATTCTTCAGTAATATAAAAGGTATGTCGTTAAATTACATAATTTTTATTTAGATCCTTTATTTCCCGATATTAAACAAATTCGTTTAAAAAAAAGTAACGTAAGTTTATTCAATTTTAAAATATTGCATATATTCTTAATAAAGTGGGAAGAAATATACGTGTTATGTGATTTTAACTGAGTTCATAGGACAAAAAGGTCTTATACTAGACGAATATGATTTTTTATGAATGTTCACCGATTTCTTGGAAACGGCAGAACCAATGTTATAGATTCTTTTGTTGGTGGTCCTACGTAAATTTAAAGAAAAAGTTATAACCTTAAGACTGTACATTAAAATCTTCATTCACTTTTTTTAACGAAATTCTAATTTTTACTTTCAACGTGTGAATACTCTTAACTCTTTAGATCTCTCAAAGGAATAAAATACACTTTTCATAAAAGGTAAAAGTGACTTCAGAAACTAAAGGTAATAATGAATAACATAAATAAATCATTTACACATAGGTTCTGAAGTCGGGGCTTTACTCGTAATTCTTCTTTAAATTCTTTCGTGTACCTTAGCGTCGACTCGTGTGTCTTGGTATCGACACGTGTGTCTTAACATCGACTCGTATACCTTGGCATCGACTCGTGTGTCTTAGCATCGACACGTGTGTCTTAATATCGACTCGTGTATCTTAGCATCGACTCGTGTGTCTTAGCATCGACTCGTGTGTCTTAACATCGACTCGTGTGTCTTAACATCGACTCGTGTGTCTTAGCATCGACTCGTGTGTCTTAACATCGACTCGTGTGTCTTAACATCGACTCGTGTGTCTTAGCGTCGACTCGTGTACCTTGGCATCGACTCGTATGTCTTAGCATCGACTCGTGTATCTTAGCATCGACTCGTGTGTCTTAGCATCGACTCGTGTGTCTTAACATCGACTCTTGTACCTTAGCATCGACCCGTGTATCTTAACATCCACTCCTGTGTCTTAGCATCGACTCGTGTGTCTTAACATCGACTCGTGTATCTTAGCATCGACTCGTGTGTCTTAGCATCGACTCGTGTGTCTTAACATCGACTCGTGTGTCTTAACATCGACTCGTGTACCTTAGCATCGACTCGTGTGTCTTAGTATCGACACGTGTGTCTTAACATCGACTCGTGTATCTTAGCATCGACTCGTGTGTCTTAGCATCGACTCGTGTGTCTTAACATCGACTCGTGTACCTTAGCATCGACTCATGTGTCTTAGCGTCGACTCGTGTACCTTGGCATCGACTCGTGTGTCTTATCATCGACTCGTGTGTCTTAGCATCGACTCGTGTACCTTAGCATCGACTCGTGTGTCTTAGCATTGACTCGTGAGTCTTAGCATCGACTCGTGTGTCTTAGCATCGACTCGTGTACCTTGGCATCGACTCGTGTGTCTTAGCATCGACTCGTGTGTCTTAACATCGACTCATGTACATTAGCATCGACTCGTGTGTCTTAAAATCGACTTGTGTACCTTAGCATCGAATCGTGTGTCTTAGCATCGACTCGTGTGTCTTAGCATCGATTCATATGTCTTAGCGTTGACTCGTGTACCTTGGCATCGACTCGTGTGTCTTAGCATCGAATCGTGTATCTTAGCATCGACTCGTGTACCTTAGCATCGACTCGTGTGTCTTAGCATCGACTCGTGTGTCTTAACATCGACTCATGTACCTTAGCATCGACTCGTGTGTCTTAAAATCGACTTGTGTACCTTAGCATCGAATCGTGTGTCTTAGCATCGACTCGTGTGTCTTAGCATCGATTCGTATGTCTTAGCGTTGACTCGCGTACCTTGGCATCGACTCGTGTGTCTTAGCATCGACTCGTGTATCTTAGCATCGACTCGTGTGTCTTAGCATCGACTCGTGTGTTTTAACATCGACTCGTGTGTCTTAGCGTCGATTAGTGTGCCTTGGCATCGACACGTGTGTCTTCGCATCGACACGTGTGTCTTAGCGTCGACTCGTGTACCTTGGCATCGATTCGTGTGTCTTAGCATCGACTCGTGTATCTTAGCATCGACTCGTGTACCTTAGCATCGACTCGTGTGTCTTAACATCGACTCGTGTGTCTTAGTGTCGACTCGTGTGTCTTAGCATCGACTCGTGTGTCTTAGCATCGATTCGTGTGTCTTAGCATCGAATCGTGTGTCTGAGCGTCGACTCGTGTGTCTTAACATCGACTTCAGAACTATGAAATTATTATTGCTTTAACTTTTGAAGTGGGTTTTAACATGATATTAAATACTTCATTATTAAATTGCATACTTAGTATACAATAGTTAATAATATAACTTTTTCGGACGCACAGATTTCTCTTAAAATAAACAAGCAAACACTATGCTCGCTTTTTTAAACACAAGAACTCTTGACTTATGTTGCTATTGTCATTGAAAAGAAGTATAACACTTTTGGTGAGAAGTCACCACTCGACGGTCTTTGATGACTACCCAAGTGTGCACTAAGACCTGTTAATAAGAGCCCTTGTCTTTTAACTTAGTTTTTATACAAATCAGTTGGTTTTAAAGTATTGTTATTTTTTACAATCGTTTACATACAAAGTATAGAATGATTTGTAATACTTTTAAAAGTAAAAAGTATGAGTAAAATTTACAATTCCACTTGGAAAAAAATAGCAAATCCTGCTGAACGTGGCGACCGACGAATGATTGATTTTTTATTTAATAATGTGAATTCTGCATTAAATTAAGTAAGACTACCTAAAAATAAGAACTCATTTCGTATATAATTATTATACATTTTCACTACCTTGTTATATTGTTAAATATATTTTGTATATTATACTATATCCTTTTTATTTGCATTGTATTGTATTTTATTAACCCCCGAATCAAAACGTATGTAACTTATAAAATTTTAAAACTATAATTCTTTTACAGATCGAGGAACCCAGCCATAGGAAAAATAGCGGCACATTTTTAGTACCAATGAATGGCGGTATTTGGACTATGTGCGTGTCGTTGCAAGGTACTTTTTTCTTCAGTGACTTCGCATGTGGATAATAAATAAATTTGGTTTTATTTTGTTGCAATAACGTACTTTATTTACAGAGGAGGAAGTAACTATGCTATCCAGAGTCGGCTTTCCGACGGAACCGCTATGCACAAATTACTTAGCAAATAATGAAGATGAAGAAATTAGAGCAGATTGGCAGCATCGTAAGTAAAATGTGTTCGTAACTGTTTATGTACCAGTTTCGTGGCCCACTCAGAAACTTTTGCGAAACTAAAAAAATATTTAGGTCTGATCTGGAACATTTTTTCACCACGTGCTCGGCGGTGAAGGATAACATCGTGAGGAAACCTGAATGTCTGAGAAATAAAAAAATATTTCGAGGACATATGAAGTTCGCCAACTCGCATTGGGGCGGCACGGCGGACACTTCCTTGCCCTAAAACCCTCTCAGAAATGAGACAAGACCTGTACCCAGCAGTAAAACGTATATAGGCTGTAACTTTAACTTCTTTTAACTAGGATATTTAACAAAATCGTTCACCCCTCTCCGACTGAGTAACCATCTCCTTAACTGATTAACTCAGCCCTAACTAATGCAATTACTGCGTTCGACACGTGCCGGTGCCATTAGTGGGTGTGTATGTCAAAATGTCTAACAAAGAAAAGGAGATCGTTTTAAATGTTGTTGGCATGGATGCCAGGGCTTTTCCATAGTTGCCACACTTGGCAGGCGGTTTAGTAAATACAGTTTTTTTATTTCCTAGTTTGTTATTAGAAAGACGCTGCTGCCCATATCTTACTTTGTTTTCCTCTGTCGCCTCTTACACGATCCCCAGGAAACACGGTCATAAAATATTTTATAATCATTCAATTATAATAAAGCAGATAACGGCTCGCTTCGCTGGGCATACGATAATATTTTATTGCGGCACTTAGATGTAAAATGTCATGTTTTTTTATGGGACTATCGAGAACGTATTGTTCTTAGTAAGCATCTACATTGCAAAATAAATAACTATACAAAATTTTAAGTCAATCGGGTGTATAGTTGTAGAGATCTTGTGCTTGTGATGAGTCAGTCACATATAGGGCACACTGAAAGTTCTACGATCCAAGGCGCTCATAAATGTTTGACATTCGAATGCTATACTTTTTACAACTTAAGGAATTTTTAAATTGATTAAAATACTTTTTGTCGAGATGTTGCGTGTCAATTATATTTTTTTAATGTAGTAAAAGTCATACCGCAGCTATAGGTATATAGTTGTAACACGAATGGGTCGGCTCGACCGGGGAAGGATCATGCTCTCATAGAATACCAGCGAAAAATAGCTACTTAATTTTAGCATTAATTTTTTTTTAGCATTAATGTTTTTTCATAGGGTGAGTGTAGAGAACCGAACTCTTTTTACTGGATACAAGGCGTTCCATTCTCAGGGGTGATAACGCATCTGCATTTTGATTCGTAAATGCAGATTTCTATGGGCCACAGCATCCTCTTACCATCAAGTGGACGGTGTGTTCGTTTGTTACCCTTATTCTATAAAAAAAATATTTTTATCACAAGTTGAAATTCATCTTTCGTGGGAAATATTAAATTAACGCGAAAAGATTTTTTATGATTTTATTAAAAGTCCACTCTTTCCGCAAGATTGCACTACTTATGTTCAAAATCCTTTTAGGAGAAAAGCACTCTATTTGTTGAGCCAAATAAAAAAACATTTGAAAGTCTAAAAGCTTTGTCGGTGCTTTTCCTTTGCTGAGATTCATCATTAAGTCACCCCAGGAATAAAAGGGTTCTTGTTGATTAGTGTAAAAAATGTTTTTAAGTATGATCATGGACGCTGAAATGCTGTGTATGATATTTTGACAGGAGAAACATGGATATATTGTTACATTTCGGAAAGAAAACAACAGTCTTCTGTCCTATTAGAAGACGACAGCAAACCAACAAAATTGAGGCAGGCAAAAAGCAGCTGCCTGGATGCTGCCATTTGATGATCAAAAGACAATTAATGTCTAGTGTCCTTAAAAAAAACGACGGGTAAAATGACTAAGAAGTCGCATCCTACTGCACCATGACAAAGACTCGGTACACACCGTGAACAAGACAAAGTCGTTTTTGGCTTCTCAAAATATGGAGCTCGTAATCCGCACACAGTAAATATCTCGCACAAAGCGATTTCTTTATTTTTCAAAAAAAAATTGATGAGAGTTTTAACATTTACGCACTCTGTGTTATAGCTTTCAACTAGCGCGTAAAAAAAAAACATGCCTTCAGACCAATGATCTTTAGGTATTCGAAAATGGTTGGAACGAATGAAAAAGTGCTTAAATTTAATGGCGAAAACTTTAAAAAGCAGTTAATATATTATTAAATATTTTAAATTGTTGGTTGGTACATTGAAAGTTTTGTGAGATATGCAAAACTTTCAATGTACCCAACATAGAATACAAGATATAAGATGTATTTTTATTTATAGAATAAGGTTCACAAACGAGCAGTCACTTCACCTAATTGTGAGTACGTGCTATGACCCATAAACATTTACATCTATCCTCGATTAAGAACCAAAATGCAGATGCGTTGTCACCTAAAGACTAAAGTATAATGCCTCGTTTTCAGTAAAAAGGATCTCCGGTTCTCTACGCTCACAGAAACGCAGTGGCTCTACTACGACTAAAACATATTATGCTAAAAAATGTTATTTTACCAGGGATGCAGAATCTATCGATATCATGCGCGCTGGTATGCCTGATAGTGCTCGGCAGCGCAGCACTGGTGGGCGCATTCGGTGTCTGTAAGCACCAGATCAGCGCTGTGCTCGTAACCGGCGTCATGTACTTATTAGCTGGTAGGTACATAATTGTAGATCTTTCTAGATACTAAGAATATATTTAAATGCGTCATATTACATTTGCTCTCCACTTCCAGGTCTATTCGCTATGTTCACGCTTATGATAATCCACTTTAAGCGGATGCAGCGCGTCTCCACTCGCAGTAGTCCACACGGGGACGATACAGCTGACGGCGTAGTCGGTCCTCGTGCACCAGCATTACCACTCCTTTCAGCTAGAGAGTTTACCACATCGTGGTCGCTTGAACTGGGTTGGGGGGCGTAGCGTTAGCTACCACAACATCACTTCTTTGGATACTGTTATCCAAAATAATGAGATACAACCCTATATCTGCTATGCTGTTATAGATTAGATTTTGTTTACTTTATAATGTTGCAGTCAATTATCTTATAAATTTGATGTTACTGTCTCTGTTTAATCTCATCGCTTTCTGCAGTCTAGACCTGTTACAATTCAATAATTAGGCAGTGCACGTGTAACTGTTTCATATAATTGAGTAGTATTTTAATGTGGAATGTAATTTAAGAAAGTCTTTTTAAAAGTAAATTAATCAACTAAAGTTAATGTTATATGATTCGGCCCTGCACTTTTTCTTTTCTGTCTGTTATAGCCACTTACACCGTCATAATATCCAGTAAGAATGCTGTGCTCCCTCTTTTTATTTAATTGATAAAAAGTTGATACAAGAGAAATACCTATATTTTGTATTGAATGTATTTCGAAATATACGCTTTTATATAAATTAGCTTAGGCATATGCCAAGCTTACTGCCGTCCATTGCTATGAATATATTGTTATTATGTTTTTAAAGAAAAACCCTTTTTCAACAAATAAACTAATATATCAAATGGTAATAAATCAAATGATTTGAACTTAGAAAGTTTAAATCTTAAAAATTATATTTTCTTATATACAGGTATATAATCAAAGCAAATTATATTATATTCTTCATTAAAATCTGCTGTAGCTTTATCCACTTCTATGCTATCACCATTTACTTCTCGTTTTGCATGTTTAAATTGAGCACGGTGATCCTCTTTTGTATATAAATTGTTAAATTTACTTTAGCTTAATAAATAGTTTATTAAAAAAATTATAAAGTTAGTTTTAACCCTAATAATTATATCGTTCAAACCTTGTCATTTAATTTTAATTTTCAGTTTTTGTATTTATTGATAAAACAAAATCGTGAAAATGTAAATATTATTTCAATAAGCAACGAAGTAGTTGTACTACATCTATTAAAAATAGATAAGTAAAATTTATGTGATTTATACTTTAGCTTTAAGACCATGACGCTTCTTATAGATTTAAGTTAACCATAGATGCAAAAACGACAACGATATGTAAATAAACAAGTAAACTTTGAAAAGACATTGCTGTTCTATTAGTGTTGACAAATTATATAATTTTATCTATCATAATTCTATTATGTGATATTGTTAGCAGCCCAGCCATAGAAAGCTTATGTATACTGTGTATGCAATTGTTAATTATATATCGTATTCACCAAATTCATGGTCGTATTGATTGATTTCAAGGTGATCTTTCATTCAATGGACAGTTTGAGATAAATCGGGAAAAACTAGATAACTTCCATGCACTTTATAAAATTATTGTTTAAATTGTGTTGTTAAATTTGATATAGAATTCAGTAATGTTATTTAAATGTTCCAATACAAGATTTTTTTGTACTTTGAAGTATAAAGCGACATTTTGTTTATTTGTTGTTTTATTTTTGATTCCTAAAAACAATTCATTTTGATTTTTTATAATATAAAGTTAAGCGTGTTTACATTACCCATCTCGCGACCATTACCAGGTTGTAAGTAGTTAGTGTATGTCGTAGACACCTTCAACCAAATTCAAGCAAGGAAAGCAAAAAGTAAGTTGTCATCTGTTACAAAAGAGAGAACGCCTTACAGACTATCATACAAATTCTCTCTCCATATCTTTTAAACGGGTAAAACCACATAAAATTTTCCAGGCAGTACTTTATTATCAAACTATAAATACTATGACAAGAATTATAGTAAGAGTTTTCTCGTTATTAGTATTTAACAACATCCGTTCACAAATAATCTATTGCACTTCATGGGTTCTCAGAGAAGGATATTTACATTTTAAGACAAAAAAATTATTAATACTCTAGTTGATCTGTAGTTATTGTCTTGATTCCTTAACAAAAACTACACATTTAATAAAACTATAAAACAAGTTAAGGTGAAGATTTTTTTAGTATATATTATGTCAACCGTATGACGTGTAGAAGGGCACATACTGCCTGTTTGTAACAGGAATCTCGATGAATATCTTTGGTACATTATAACACAAATTACTAATTAGAAACAAACTATCAGGTCTGAAGAAAATACACCTGGATCTCAAAGTTACAAAAAAAATGTAGTTAACTGAACTGTCTAAATAAGGTAAAGAAATTTTATGACACCGGTAATTGTATATTTTAAGGTACGAGGGTGGATTGAAAAGTACTCGGCCTAACCAAGAAAATAAACACATACTAAATCAGTTATATTTTTATTTTTCTACATAATCACCATCAAGTTCAATACACTTTTGCCACCTCCCCTTCCAAGCATTTAGATCGTTGAAAAAAAAATGATTCTTCCTTAGAGTCAAAATATGCGTCTACAGCTGCTTTGACGTCGTCGTTTGTCGAAAATCTTTGACCTCCTAAGTGCTTTTTTAGGTTAGGGAACAGAAAGAAGTCTGATGGTGCCAGATCAGGTGAATACGGCGGATGCGGTAACAGTTCAAAGCCACAGTTGTGAATTTCAGCCATTGACTGTACTGACGTGTGAACACGGGCGTTATCTTGATGAAACAGGACTTTTCTTCTGAGCATTCCTCGACGTTTTTCTTTTATTTCCTCTCGTAAACGACGTAGTAAGGTGCATTAGTAATCAGAGTTTATAGTCTGAACCCTTTCAAGATAATCAATCATAATCACACCTTTCGAGTCCCAGAATACTGAAGCCATCACCTTATTTGCCGACAAAATCGACTTAGCCTTTTTAGGGGGTGGTGAACCGGGTCTTCTCCACTGTTTTGATTGTTGTTTTGTTTCCGGTGTACAGTAATGAACCCATGTTTCGTCCATAGTAACAAAACGATTCAAAAAATCATCTGCATCGGCTTCAAATAACTCCAAATAGTCGCGTGAAATAGTCAATCGCGTCCTTTTTTGTTCAACTGAAAGCAGTCGCGGAAACCACCTCGCAGACACCTTGTGGAAACCCAACTCGTTGACAATGATGTTTTGAGTTCGTTCATAAGAGATGCCTATAATCTCGGCTATCTCTCTAATTTTTAATCTGCGGTCTCCCATTATTAAATCAAGTACTTTTTTAATATTTTCGTCAGTAGTTGACGTCGAAGGCCTTCCAGAGCGGGGTTCATCTTTCACACTCTCTCTACCACGCTTAAATTCTGCTATCCATTTTTTGACGGATGAATATGACAGAGCACAATCGTCTAATGTACTGACCATGTCATCATGGATGGCTTTTGATGATAGCCCCTTCTTATGGAGGTACTTAATGACCGCACGCTGCTCGATTTGCTCCATTCGCGGAAATTATGTCCGATTACTTTGTTAATAAATTTATAAAATCACAACTAATTATCGCACACGTTTCGAACTTCACACAATGAACTAGTCTGAACTGAACTAAATAATGTGGGTAGATTTGATTTTTAGAATTGAATGGATCTGTGTTAGGCCGAGTACTTTTTAATCCACCCTCGTATTTTTTTCTCAACATTTCAATTTCACTCACGTACTTTTTCTAAAGTGGATCGCAAACAACTAATTGAGACTAGCTGAGACTAGTTAAATCGTCAGCATAAAGCTAGAAATTGAAGTTTTAAAAATTAACTACTAATATCATGAATATACAATGTAAATAGCAGTGGGCCATGAATTAAGCCCTGTGGTACACCAGATGTAACGGCAACTTAGAATGAACCCCATTACATACAACTCTCCGCAATCTATTAACAATATACGAGCAAACCCAACTCAGCAAATTACCTCTTATTCTGTTCGAAGCTAGTTTATTTAACAAGATACAATGATCCACCCCGTCGAAAGTTTTTTTGAAATCTGTATAAATAGTTTCTACTTGTAATACATCTAATAATGTCCTCCAGATCGAATTTCGGTCACGGCCGCCAGCCTCAACGGAACTAGCCATCGGCGCAGGACAGGATTATAGTGCTCAAGTATAAGTGCACAAGCACAGGTGCATTCTCTATTCCCTCACTCTCATAATCCGGCACGACCGGAAGATCAGGCACAGGACCAACGGCTTTACGTACTTTCCGAGGCACGAGGGTGTGACACCGCCCACTTCCTGACTCCGGGTAGCTACTGAGAATTACTTAACGGAAAAAATCAATAATTGATTTTTAGACACGACTCGCATTTCGAACCCAGGACCTCATGATCAGTAGTCGTTATACTACAACTACTAGACCAAATAGGCGGTATGAATACATCTATATATTCTGGTGAATTACCTTTCAAAAAGCTTTGATAATGTAGTTTATCAAAACTGTTCAGAATGGAGTTAGGTCTATATAGTATAGATAGTATAGTAGATGTAAGAATATCCACTACACCATATCATTTATTATTTACATATTTTAAAAACTAAAATGCATGCAAAATTATACCTATACACGAAAAGGTAAAGTTTACCTTTCTTATAGAAGAATTTTTCCATGAACAGTTAAAAATTGTCCCTATACATGAATACTCTGAAACTCGTTACTCTGGAAAACCTAAACTAGCCTTACTTAAATACAATAATTTATATATAACGTACCTTAGAATATATGATTCCCAACCTAATTAACCAGCTACCAGTATCTGTAAAATCAGAACTGAATCAAAAAAATATTAAATTAAAATTTAAAAACTACTTTGTGGAAGGCATTACTACTAATTTAAATTATACATAATATGTTTTAATAATTAATACTACGAAAACGACCTGAAACAAGCGCCCTGTATAAAATATATAGGATCCATGCACGGTGCATTATGCAATAGAAGATCACGCAATTAACTAATAAATACTAAGTGTATTTCTTTTTTCTTACTACACCCTCATATTTGTTGTTGTCGGTGATACCGGTACACGATAAAGTTTCTATAAACTTATGATTGTACTGTAACGTAACGTGTAATTAATGAATGTAATAACATATTAAAAAATAAATAAATTAAATAAATTAAG